AAATAAGCAGGTGGTTGGAGGAAAGCAGTTGGCTAATTGGACATGAAGGCTGCATTCAGAACAACAGCAACACTTTAAACTGCTGGGTACCAGAAGGGGAAGGCAAGCCATTGATTAATAAGGCCTTGTGAAATAAGAGAGGAGAAGGGAAAGACACATTTGGGGTACAGAAAGGAATGGTTTAAGTGTTGTGTGGCTAGATGCCAAGGAAAAACTTTTAAACGACTATAGAAGAAGGGATAGTAACAAGGCATCTTATTTTGATAAGAATTCCTATAATGCCTATCTGCTCAATTAGTGAAAACTTTAAGCAGATTTATTTGAATGTGTGATTGTATGTGGCTTCAAGTCACCTGTTGACTCACGATGATCCCATTAATCTCACACAGTTTTCTTAGGCAAAGAGTACTCAGAGATAGATTAAAGAGTCCCTTCCTCTGAAAGAGAGCCACAGCATCAGGAATCCATTGAGACATGTGAATAACAAACAATATTTAGTCCTTAATTTTTACACTTTGGACTACTAGAAATCAAGTGCAACCTAGAGCAATTCCATTCCAAGCAATTCAATTTTGCCTTTTTTTTAAAAAAAAATATTGAAAGTTTCCTTTCCATTATAATTGGGGTTATTATTGAAGCATCCACTATTAATTTTCTCCTATATTTATTTCATACTAGCTAAACTCGACCATGCTTCACTGTGGATCGGTCTGATAAAAGGATGACCCAAACAATTACCGTCCGATCAGCCTCACATCGATACCAGGCAAGATTCTGGAAAAGATTGTTAAGGAAGTGGTCTCCAAACAGAAACAAATATGGTCATAGCTAATAGTCAGCACGGATTTATCAAAAACGAGTCATGCCAGACTAATCTGATCTCTTTTTTCGATAGAGTTATAAGCTGGGTAGATGTGGGGAATGCCATGGATGTAGCGTACCTGGATTTCAGTAAGGCCTTCGACAAGGTCCCCCATGACCTTCTGGCAAGGAAACTAGTCCAATGTGGGCTAGGCAAAACTACGGTGAGGTGGATCTGTAATTGGTTAAGTGGACGAACACAGAGAGTGCTCACTAATGCTTCCTCTTCATCTTGGAAAGAAGTGACAAGTGGAGTGCCACAGGGTTCCGTCCTGGGCCCGGTCCTGTTCAACATCTTTATTAACGACTTAGATGAAGGGCTAGAAGGCAGGATCATCAAGTTTGCAGACGACACCAAATTGGGAGGGATAGCCAATACTCCAGAGGTCAGGAGCAGAATTCAAAACGATCTTCACAGATTAGAGAGATGGGCCAAAACTAACAAAATGATGTTCAACAGTGACAAATGCAAGGTACTCCACTTAGGCAGAAAAAAATGAAATGCAAAGATACAGAATGGGGGACAATGCCTGGCTCGAAAGCAGTACGTGTGAAAAAGATCTTGGAGTCCTCGTGGACAACAAGTTAAACATGAGCCAACAATGTCATGTGACAGCAAAAAAAAGCCAATGGGATTTTGGCCTGCATAAATAGGAGCACAGTGTCTAGATCCAGGGAAGACATGCTACCCCCTCTGCCTTGGTTAGACAACACCTGGAATTTTGTGTCCAATTCTGGGTCCCAGAATTGAAGAGAGATATTGACAAGCTGGAATGTGTCCAGAGGAGGGTGACTAAAATGATCAAGGGTCTGGAGAACAAGCTCTATGAGGAGCAGCTTAAAGAGATTGTCATTCTTTAGCCTGAAGAAGAGACGGCTGAGAGGAGACATAATAGCCATGTATAAATTCATCAGAGGAAGTCATAGAGGATGGAGCAAGCTTGTTTTCTTCTACCTTGGGGACTAGGACTAGGAAGCACTAAGAGACTCCAAGGGTACAATCTTTCTTACTACTTCTCAAAAAAGATATTGCAAAGTTACTTTGTGAAATCAAATACACCTGTGAGCAAAGACGACAGAATTCTCCAATGGCTCTTTTTTCTTCACTTTCAATTTCCATCAGCCTCTGCCTGACCCCTTTACCATATATATCAGAGACTGGGAATGCATGAGTGAGTTCATGCCATTGGATAACTGATCCTGTTATCAAGTCCTGATTAAGCAATAGGATCTTAATTGAATTGTTGGTGTTAATAGGTTCAGGGAGATGGTGCATCATTGAGTGATTAGATGTTAGAAAACAACATAAATGTAATGGGTTTGGCTCAATCCACGGACAAGTATGTCTTTTTATATCATGGTTCTTTTATGGGTTATTTAAGGATTGCATTGGAACAAGAAACAAAAGCTTAAAGTGGAGCACAAGGAAACATGAATCTGTAGTTCAATGAATCATCTTTCAAAATTAAGTGCTTTCAAAATAAGTTTAAATTTCAATTTTTGCTCATTCTGTTTTCTACACTATCTGAAGATCAGCTGCATAGAAAATGGGACTGCTATGGTCATGATAATGAAGGGGCAGTGAATTGATCCCTTCATTATCCTATGTTGTCCTTGCATAGTTAGTTATAACAGATTTATCCAGTTTCTGTCAGGAGTACTGTCAGGAGGTTACAGACAATGAAGAGTGGCTTAAAGAGCTGGGCATGTTTAGCCTGAAGAAGAGAAGGCTGAGAGGACTCATGATAGCCATGTATAAATATGTGAGAGGAAGTCATAGGGAGGAGGGAGCAAGCTTGTTTTCTGCTTCCCTGGAGACTAGGACGCGGAACAATGGCTTCAAACTACAAGAAAGGAGATTCCATCTGAACATGAGGAAGAACTTCCTGACTGTGAGAGCTGTTCAGCAGTGGAACTCTTTGACGCGGAGTGTGGTGGAGGCTCCTTCTTTTGAAGTTTTTAAACAGAGGCTGGATGGCCATCTGTCAGGGTGCCTTGAATGCAATTTTCCTGCTTCTTGGCAGGGGGTTGGACTGGATGGCCTATGAGGTCTCTTCTAACTCTATTATTCTACTTCAACTGTTAGTCCTGCATGGCAAAGGATTGGTCTGAGTGTCTCCTAGAGTCCTGTCCAACTCTATAATTCTATGATTTTCAACCCACTGACCTCAGAGTCAACAGAAAGAACTGGAAGATGTGACTATGAAATCTGTAGAAGTTACCAAAGCATCCAATCTACACAGCTATAGCACTTTGATACCATTGGAAACGTCAAAGCTTCATGCTGTGGTTGTGTAGTTACAAAACAGCCTTCTTGATATAGTAGTAGGGGCAGCCTAAATCTCTAGAAGCTAAAATTCAAATCCCCATTCAGCTGTGGAAAACCTTTGGGTGACGAGCCCTTTTCACTAGGGGCCCAATGTATAGATATATACAACATTTCCACAGACACAATATAAGCAGATAGAGGATGCTTTGGAAGAAAATAGTTTATATGATGGGTTTACAGACCTTCATAACAGCCTTAATAACTGTTTTCTTTGTTCTTTCTATCTTCTCATGCTTGCCTTTGGCTTGCCTGACTGAACTGTCATCTAGACACATGTCCACACTGTGAGGTTATTAAAAGCTACAGGGAAAAATAATGATAATTAGTTATGAGCAGGAGATGGAAAAAATGCAATTTTGCTCATGCACATACTCTGCCTGTTGTTTGGTTCTTTAAAAAATGCTCTGTGCTGTTTTGAATTATATCGTTATTGAAGATTAGAGTCCTGTAATTACAAAAGTCAATTTTAGACACCAGTTTGTACGGTGTGAATAAATGTCATTAAAATGAATAGTTTTGTTTGGATTTATTGGGTTTCTTTTTTTTAAAAAAAAATAACCCTCCCTTCATGGGAAAGTTAAGATAGGTGTGGGGAAATGTTAGAATAATAATTCAGTTTACTTTGTCATTAATTTGCCCTTCTGGTAATTTCCCCAAAGACATCTTCCTCAGTAAATCTAAAAGCAAAAAAAGAGGCATAAGTTAAATATTCCTATTTATTTTTGTCTTCATACGTCTTGGATTCATATAGCTATTAAGTGTTTTGTGTCTTTGAGTTGCCTCTGGCTGAGAAAGGCGGTATAGAAATGCAGTAAAGAAATAAATAATAAATAAATTTATACAGATTCAAACCAAATTGGGGCATGCATGATTTGAAAACAAGCAAACCCCCATTAACCAGTCATGGCCAAGTGGAAATAGTCTGGCATTTGGTAAAATAGCATTTTCCTTGTATCTGGAGTCATTGCACATTGTAACAGAATAGTAGGATTATCCCAATACGGGATGCCATGTGTAGTGAATTCCCTACCTGTTAGGCTACCCCACCTTCCTTCTCATTATGTGGCCAGAGTACTTCATCTTTGCCTCTAATATCTTTTCCTCCAGTGAACAGTTGGGCTTTATTTCCTGGAGTATGGACTGCTTTGATCTTCTCATGGTCCAAGACACTCTCAGAATTTTCCTCCAACACCACAGTTCAAAAGCATCTATCTTCCTTCGCTCAGCCTTCCT